TATTAAGATTAGTCCGAACCATTTGGTTCTGATTACACCAAATTCAGTATTTATATAGTATAGATGCATTTTTTGAGTCAGAGAGAGTATTACACGGAGGAGATTCGCCGAATCCACGAGTTGTAGTGCTGCTACTGGTGGATGTAAACCGTTGTATCCTGGGAGATAGACGTCACTGAGTCCGTTAGCACCATAGCGGGACGAATCTGTCTTCAGGATATAGTATCCAATACTAGCCTCGGTCCAGGTTCTTTATTTATTATTATTATTTTATTAATTTATCTTGCATATTTAATTAAATATAAAAGTTGCATATTTAATTAATGATTTCTTAGCATATTGTTAATTATCTCATGACATATTAGTATAAGATTTGTTATATCTTAAATGTCACATGAAGCATATATTTTACCAACAATATATATATATACATATCCAATTATAATATATAATTTTATGTTATGAAGGCTTAGTCCACAGGCTATTAAATTTTTTAGTTATATTTTAGACCCAATTTTATCATTTATTCATTTTAAAACAAAAACCAAGCCCATCTGTACAATCAAACACAAGCCCATTAAATTTTTTAGTTATGTTTTAGACCCAATTTTATCATTTATTCATTTTAAACCAAACCCAAACCCAAACCCATCTGTACAATCAAACCCAAGCCCATCTGTACAATCAAACCCAAACCCATGTCTCATGTCTAACCATAACCCTAATCATCTTCCTTTTTCTAAAATTATCAGTAGCCCAAGCAGCAGCGGCTACACACTCAACAATTTGCTTTCTGTCAGGAAATCTTACTTCTCTCTCTTTCTTTTCTTATATTTGATTTTTATGTATTAATTGTTTTTCATTCAAACTAATTTTTGGTATAAATTTTGGGATTTACTATTGATCTGTGCATCTCTCAACTTCTTCCATCAAAATTAACTCTGTTAAATTTAATTTTTGATCAAATTTATCACTTTCTTTTTTTTTTCTCTCAAACTTCTCTCTTTTTATTGCTGCAAATCTATTTCTCTTAAAAAAAAAAATTATTATTATTTTTTATTTTTTGTTTTAGATTTGTTAGATGCGAAATACAAAAAAAAAAAAAAAAAAAAAAAAAAAAAAAATGGCTCGAGCTCAACTCGAGGCTCGTCGAACAGAGCCGAGCCGCGCTTGAACCAAAATTTCTCGGCTCGGCTCGAGCTCGAGCTGAGCTTGAGCATTATATCACTTGAGCTGAGCCGAGCTCAAGCACACCATGGCTCGGCTCGGCTCGGCTCGATTGCTTAAGTTGAACTCGTTTGTTTAACGAATGAGTCCAAATTAAACTTTAAATGAGAACTTGGTTCATTTGCAATGCTATTTAGGAACTTAGGTACTGTTTACTGATCAGTTAATGATTTTTTAAATTTATTTTTGGGTGCAACTTAATTGTGCATGTATATTTTCTAACTGATATATAATGTGTGTTGTCAAGAGGCATGAAGTGCACATGCAAACTGCACTCAAAACTGCCAAAATGAGTCGCACTTAAAAGGGCATATATAATATAACTCAAAAGGTTGCCTTAGTTCATATTATTTATTTTATTTATCTATTTATTTGCGAAGTTCATTTTATTAACTTTTCAAATGCACTTTACATCACTAAAGGTTAAAAAAAAGAAAAAAACTTATGCACCAATTTTATTCGAATGTAAGTACAGCTTAACTTAAAAGGTACCAATGAAGCAAATTCCATCCTATTACAATCCGAAATAAACTATTTTTCATTACTAAACACATGAAGAACTCGCAAACATCACTAAGTTGGACATTGCTGCCAATGCACCCAAGGGTAGCACTTCCCTATATATGAATATAATGGAACCCCTTTTTCAATTATAAATATTTTGCCACCAGGTCCAACACCACGGTTCAGTGCACGAGCTCCAGTACCTCCACCCATTCCACTAGCTCCGGCAACATTTTTGTCTTGGATTACTATAGGTAGAGATGAGGTTCTCACTTCGCACCATCCAAAGAATTGACACATATTTCTTTGACAAGTACAATAGAAGTTTCTCATAATTATCCTTCAATCCAACTATTCTTACTACTGCTCTCTTGCCAAGCCAACATGGCTTATTGGAGAGGATGAAAAATTATGCCTTATTGTCACTTGCATTAGTATGAGTAGAAGCAGAAGATCTTTATAAGTTTTATAAGTATAGAAAAGCATAAAATTTTACAGGATACAAATGGGCATAGCCCTGCTAAAGAAAAAGAAAAAAGGTCAAAAAACAAGAAACAGTCCAGCCCAAATTGAAGGCACAAAAAACAGGCCACGCCTAACAACAAACACCCTAAGAACAAGAAAAGAACAGAAGGCACAAGGACAAACAGCAACACTACAGAAATACCTGAAGGTATGGCGGGAGGAATCAATAGAACTCCAGGGCACTAGGTATACAACCCCAACCTTGAATATGCCACAAATTCTACAAAGTTCATTTCTCTACATTGAAAAACGTAAAATTTTAATTCAAATAGGTTAGTGAAAACGTGAAACTGAAGAAAATTGAAGAGAATATATCTATATACTTGTATCTTTCAAATATACATGTGATTATAGCGACCTTGCGGGTGGGTGCAAAACACTAACAGTTTATGGATGCACGATCCTACATTGCCTGGGTATGGTATGGAAAGAAGAAGTAATATATATGAACGATTTTTTTTTTTTTTTTAAATGGTACTATGTATATATATATATATATATATATGTAGGATTCGTACCCTCCATGATACATGTTTTGGGCTAAGGCTTTGGAACAAAACGGTCTTGACAAAATGGTATCAGAACTTGACCTAATTAGAATTGTGCTCACGGTACGTCAAGACTCTTAAGGGGGTGGATTGTAGCCACCTCGTGGGCGGGTGCAAGGTGTGTGCAACCTCCGTGTGGTGGATTGTAACGACCTTTGAAAATAGCCCCTTAGTATGTTTGAAATTAATGCTTTGTTTGGAAATCGGCAATTCACACTTTGGAAATGAGTTTTGGTACCTTTGACGATCAATTGTTTTTTTGCTATTTTATGTTCAACAACGATTCTTAATTAGTGATGGATAAGGACATATTTCAATCGCCAGTGTCTAACGACGACTCTTAATTAGTGATGAATAAGAACATGCCTCTCTCTTTTCAAAGTGTTTAAATAAACAAAGACCACATCTATTAGTAATAATAATGTATATCTAATCAATAGTTTGAGCTAGCATGATCCACAATTCTAAATCCAATGTGTGGATTTCATGACAACTCAAAAAGCTACCAAAAATTTAAGAAATTCCTAACAAAATTCTCAATTTTATGACTTTTGTCTTGTTGGGAGCCCCAAGAAAGAAAATTAGGAAAACCACTTTAAGCTAAAATGGAGGTTAACTCGATTGGTTTGATTGCATTCATATAACTCACACTTGTAATTTACTAAATAAACCAACGTATTTGTGCTAAAAATATCAGTGTTGCTGGAAATTAATGAGTCAACAACTCTAATCACTCCTGATTGGAGAAAGAACATCCCGAGGACTGAATTATTCCCTAGAGATTAAAGTTACACTCAAACATTCAATATTCGGTTATAATATTAGTGTGAAATGGCATGAGAATAGTTTTTTTTATATGGTGTAATCAAATTTTATAATGCAATAAGGACAAAAGAGTAATACTTCACTTCAAATTTACTCTCCCAGTCTCACGCTTCAAATTTTCACACACTGTTTCACCTTTCACGATTTCAAATCCCACCTGGATCCCATATGTTTCCTCCAATTACGGCATATATTACATATATAATATATTCTCTCCCGTTAGAATCGATCGATGATTTTCCTAAATACACTAATCAATAGGTCATCCTCATTAGAAACTTTTCTGTCATCATCATCATATATATTTGTTTTGGGCGTGTACTGTCACTATTGTGTAGCAAGCGTGAAATGCGTAGCAATTAGCTATACGCACAAAACACATTGTTTTTTGTCAACACCATTATTTCAAGCCAGTTGTGTATGTGCACGGTAATAAAAAATTGTGCATTATTTCAAGCGTGTAATGCGTAGCACGTTTCTATAATAATCTCCTTAATTGGATCTAGATTCCTCCTTATCAGGGATGAATCTAAAAATTCTATAAGGAGAACAAATTTATATAGAGGAATTTTTTCAAAATTTTAGTGGAGTCAATTTTAAATTTTTTTTGGATATAAATGCAAAAAAATATAAATTTTTGAGTATAAAATGTAGTAATAAAAAATTTTAGTGGGGACGCATGCTCCCATTGAGCGCTTCACAAATCCGTGCCTGCCTATTGTACAATTTTTTTTATTACCGTGCACATGCACAACTGGCTTGAAATAATAGTTTTGAGGCCTCAAAATAGTTCTGTTTGAAACAAATGAAATTGAGGTGGAATAGCACTAGTTCAAGCCTTAAAATAAGGGGGACTACTTAGTGGCATAATTTGTAGAGCATTTAACTCCCCGAACAAGTGTAACGAACCTGTGTTCAAGTCCTCGATCTTATAATTTATCAGAAAAAATTCTTTAAAATAATGGTGTTGTATCTTGATCTAGTAGTTTAATTGATAGAGTATTAAACTCCTCCAGCGAGTGTGTCTGTATTCGAGGCCCGATCCAATAATTTGCTAATTTGCCATAAAAAAATAAAAAAACATCTTTATACAGCTGGACATTCAGTTCTCCCTTACTTAGGACAAGCGGTATGGCGCACATATTGGTAGCTGGTGGGTCAGCGTAGCCATCAATGATATGGTATGGGGTTGGCAAATGCTAGTTTACAGCTTCATAGCTAGCCAGCCCAATGTGAACATTTAGCTCGACTCCTTAAACTAACTCAGTGCTTCTTTGATATCAAAAATCGAAGCTGAGAGCTCTTTCGAAGGAGTCACTACACCCAAAATTGCATTAACCACCAATTTTGCATCACATTCCACCCAAATACATTGGAACCCAGATAATTGGCCCACCATAAAACCCGATGCACACAATGAGCCTCAGCACAAGCTGCAGATACAGCAAAAAATGATTTCAAAGTAACCACATCACTTATAGACCCGGCTGAATCCTTGAACACAACTCCACCACCCGCGGCCTATGACCTTTTACAAAACCAGACATCGACATTACACTAGATCCAATCATCTTTCGGAGGCTTCCATAACTTATGAGGTTGCAAAAATTGAAAATCAGTATCTAATCGTCTTTTCCGATTTTGAGCCTCCATAAATTCTGAAAAGCGGGATCAAGCAATCTCTGCCACTTGCCAAAGGAATTTTTTTTCTCTGCTCAAAACAAAAAGAATTACACTCTTTCCACAATGCCCAGGCACCGAAAGAGGCTAAGCCCATTCATTGAACACGCAGTTCTTTCGATATCGATCCAGAAGCCAAACTCTTCCACCATCCTGCAAAGGATGGAACATTCACACCACAAAAATCCAAACGAATGGGAGAATTTTTCCAAACCTGAATCGCCAATGGGCACCTAAATAATAGATACACCACCGTTTCCTCCTCCATTCCATAACGAGGACATAATTCACACTCCATAATTCTACGGATTTTTAGAGCATTGTTTGTTGGAAGCACTTCCAAACAACATTTCCATAAAAAATGTTTAATTTTAGGGAGTGTGCAACAACCCCAAATAAGATACCAGAGCTCAGCATCACCTTGATGAGAGCCGGATTCGGCTTTCGATTGTGGCAAATCAATATGGTCTTAAATCGCCACATAGTAAGCTGATTTGACAGAAAAATTCTAGAAGACCCATAGCCCCATATTGCTTTATCTTCTCCCCCATATTGACTAAAAGAACAACTACGTATAGCTGCCACTTCAGATGGTGAGAAAAGTTGTTCAAGAACCTCCAATTTCCATGTACCATCTTCATGATTCAATGAATCAGCAACAACTTTAAATCCCTGGGCTTTAACTTTGGGCATCAGCTTATACGGTAAATCTGTCACCCACATATCCTTCCATATATCTATAGACTTCCCATCACCAATTGACTACCGCAAACCTCGCCGAACAATTTTTTGGACTGACCAAATGCTTCTCCATGCCCAGGGCGGATTAAATCCAAGCCCCGCATCAAGATAAGCACAATGTGGAAAATATTTTGCCTTAAACAACTTGAAAGCAAAACCAGCCCGACCAACTTAAAAATTCCAAGCATGTTTTGCTAACAATGCATCATTAAAGGCTTCAAGGTTTTGAAATCCCAGACCACCATTTCTTTTACCATAACAAAGGGAGTCCCGGGAATTCCAATAAACACCTCGCGATCCAGCTTTTCCCCACCAGAAGGCTCGAAACTTCTTCTAATTCCAAACACAAGGATTTTGTGAGCTTAAAACATGACATCACATAGGTAGGGATGCCACGCAACACCGCCTTAATTAGAATCTTTTTCCCACCAACTGATAGACAACCCTTTTTCCATGAAGCTAATCTGCCTTGCACCTTCTCAAGGATAAAATTAAATACATATCTTTTGGATCACCCCACAATGACAGGAAGGCCCAAGTACCTCGTCTGGAACCCCTCCTCATTAATACCCAAGATTGCAGCCAACACCTCTCTCAAATCCCAACGAGCATTTTTAGAGAAAAACACTGAAGATTTTGTAAAATTAACCTGTTGCCCAGATGCTCGTTCATAATTATTGAGAATTCTCTTCACTAATCTGACTTCCTTCTCCTTGGCTCGGCAAAAAAAAATAGAATCGTCAGTGAAAAAAAGATATGAGATGGAAAGAGCTCCTCTGCAAAATTTTACACCTGTCAAAAGTTGGGCTTGCACTGCTTTTTGCAAGGCTAACGATAGAGCCTCGGAACAGAAAATGAAAAGATAAGGTGAAAGGGGATCCCCTTGATGCAGTCCTCTAGTTGGTTTAAAAAACTCTACTGGCTTAGTGTAACAGGTGGGCACTTGTCCATCTACCCAAAAGCTCAAACTATTGGGTAGTACTGCATACCCATCCATTTATACCCAATCACTTTTCCATCCGATTCCGATGTGGGACAAATGACCCTTGTTACACTTACCATTTACCACAACCGAAAAAGAAACTGTGGAAACACAAGCCATGATGAGCTTAACCTAGTGAGAGTTCAAACCCAATTTTAAGAGCATAGCTTGCAAGAAAGACCACTCAGACCAATCATAGGCCTTGCTCATATCTAGTTTGCAAGCCATGAATGCCTTTTTGCATGTCCTTTTATTTTTTAGGTAATGCAAGATCTCATGTGTAACAAGAATATTATTGGATATATGTTGTCCTGTAACAAAAGCACATTGAGACTCGCTAATAATAACAATAACGATCCTTTTAAGTCTGCTAGCCAGCACTTTAGAAATAATTTTATAGGCCACATTACAAATTTGATTGTTTTTTTTAAATTACTATTTTCTTACAAATCCCTCTTGTTCAATTAGGTACTTGAAAAGAAAAGGAATTTCTAAACACAGCATGATGAATTTGATCTTCAGATGGAGGAACTAGCAGCTCATCATTCATTTCCAGTGAGACTTTACAAGGAACATGCTGTAAAAATTGGTTCACACCTGAAGGATCTTTGGACTGAAAAAGATTTCAAAAGTAATCCAAGAAAATATTTTGCACCTGAGACTCCCCTTTTGCCAAACCTCCTCCAGGTCTTCCACCCCTGCAATAAAATGCATCGCCCTTCTTCTAATTGTGGATGCATGGAAAAATTTGGTATTTTTATCACCTAATTGCAACCACTGATTTCTAGATTTTTGCTTCCAAAACAATTACTCCTCTAACCAGTAATCATGAAGGTTTTGCTCAGCTTGCACCACCTGATCACGACAATACAATGATTGATTTTCCTTTACCTATTTAAGCACTTGTTTAGCCTCTTCAATTTTCCTTTTTGAATTACAAGCTCAGTTTTGACCCATTGAACAAGAGCCTTCTTACATGCTTTCACTTTAGACGACCAGATAAATTGTTTAGATCGTTGAACTGGGACTTTCCAACAGGTAGCAATAATTCGTTAACAGTCATCCTCCAATATCCATCTTGCATCAAAATGGAATTGACGTTTCCTTTTAGAAATATTCGGAGTAGTATCCAACAAAATAACATAGTGATCTAATCCCACAACCATGATATTGGATATTATTGCCTTTGAAAAATTTTCACATCATGATCCTATTACCAGCGCTCGGTCAAGCCGTTCCTGAATGTTAGCCTCCGCATTACATTGATTGTTCCAGGTAAATGGATAGCCTATTGTCACACCCCGCTACCAAGAGGCTATGCCACGCAGGCGCCACGCAGACGCCCAGCAGACGATGACATGGAGCCTGCATGGACTGGAGCTTTCTAGACTTCTCTACACAAGTATGGAACTTTCCGGAATTCTCTAGATTAGTGTGGAGTTGTCTAGCCTTTTCCAGACTTGTCCAGAGTTGTATAGAATTCTCTAGAATTCTCTAGACTTGTCTTGTACATAGTAGATAGTTCTAGAGTTGTGTAGATATTTCTGGAGGATTCTAGATACTAAATCTAGGCCACACATTTGTACACATCTAGAATGTTCTTGTAAGGCCAAAGGCCTATAAATAGGAGGTGGGAGTTCATTTGCTCCTCACCAAGCAACCAAGTTGTAATCTCTCCTCTCAAGCAATACAAGTTCTATATATTCCCAAACTCTCTTGCTCACTTGCCTAACCTCTTCCTACACACCTAAGTAAGCAAAACACTTGTCTAGCCTTAGTCTTCACTAAGCTAGCACACTCGGGTAGGCTGACTTAGCGCTTCAAGGGGGCTTGAAAGTGTCTAAGGCCGCACGGAAGCTTAAAGAGGTTCAAGTCCGTGACAGTTGGTATCAGAGCTAAGGTCGTGAGGAGTCACACCTTGTGTGGAGGAAGCTATGGCGGAGCTATCAGACGTGACTGGCACCCAAGAGGAGACTCTACGTGGAAGGGAAACAAATCCCCCTCCAGGCGGAGTGAGGACGAGGGCTATGTCGAAGGACATTATGGCGGGCTTAGAGGCACGTATGGCAAACATGGAGGGGTCCATAGCCAACGTGTTGGAGCAGCTTGAGGATGCTCACCAGCGCATGGATGGGCTGGAGTCGGAGGATGCTGAGGTCCAAAATGCTGTCAAAGGGTCACTCAATGCCCTAAGTGGTGACTTTCGGCAGGAGCTCCAAGCACTTCGAGAACTTATGTTGGGGGAGTTTGCCACCCTACGTGGTTACGTTGATCAGGAGCTTGGCACTTTCCGCGAGCAAATGGAGGAAATGCGAGCGAACTGGACATTGTGCAAACGGGCAGTGGCGTCCGGCACAGCTATTACGGGGGTAGTAGCACCCCGGGTTGATATTCCCAAGCCTATGTGCTATGGTGGGAACCGGGTAGCGAGGGAGTTGGAGAACTTCCTCTTCAGCATGGAGCAATACTTTGAGGCTACGGGCATGACCGATGAGACCATCAAGATACGCACGGCGACCCACTACCTCACCGACCATGCCATGCTTTGGTGGAGGAAAAAGTATGGTGACATAGGCAAAGGTACGGTCTCTATTGATACTTGGGCTGATTTCACTAGGGAAATTAAGAAGCATTTCTATCCTGAGAATGTCGAGGAAGAAGCTAGGGGCAGACTCCGAAAACTAAAACAGGTTGGGTCGATTCGGGACTATGTGAAGGAATGTTCTTGTAAGGCCAAAGGCCTATAAATAGGAGGTAGGAGTTCATTTGCTCCTCACCAAGCAACCAAGTTGTAATCTTTCCTCTCAAGCAATACAAGTTCTATATATTCCCAAACTCTCTTGCTCACTTGCCTAACCTCTTCCTACACACCCAAGTAAGCAAAACACTTGTCTAGCCTTAGTCTTCACTAAGCTAGCACACTCTGGTAGGCTGACTTAGCGCTTCAAGGGGGCTTGAAAGTGTCTAAGGCCGCACGGGAGCTTGAAAAGGTTCAAGTCCGTGACACTATGCACCCTAGGTCCCAAAGATTACAATTCTCTACCAATTGTTTAAAATTTCTCAAAACCCAAGCTGGTTTTACCCTACCACCTCTTTTCTCTGTAGACTAAAGAATATCGTTGAAATCGCCGATGATCACCCAATTATCATTCAATAAAGATAAGTGATGTTGTAGGTAATACCATTGCTAAGCTCGAACACAATCATCCGTACTTGCATAAATTATTGTAAGCACCCAAATAGAAGAAGAAGGACCACCAACCAACCCTGTAATCTAAAAAACATTTTGGTTAATAACCTGTATGGCAATATCATCCACCCACCATAAAAAAATCCCCCGACATGACCACGGGCCTCAATCACACTACTATTAGAAAAACCCAACTTACTATGTGTAACGACCCGAACCCGAAGGTTCGAATCATTAACCGGGTCTTTATCCGAACTCGAGGTCAACTAAGGACACTACTGTCCTTTCTTACGTCAATACATAATATACGTGTCATCCTAAGGTTTAAAAACAAATAGTAATAGCAATAACAATAAAATGAGATTATAGCCACAAAATATGTCAAAGCAGTCCACTAACCCATCAAACCCTATGGGGGAGCGTCATTCGCTACTTCCCTTCCGTATCCTGAAAAAATGTTAATAATAAAGGGATGAGTATAATGTAATACCCCTAATCTTAAAATGATAGACTTGATATTAAATTAATGGTTTTATTGCATTTTATTTGATTACTTGTTATTTGCTTAATTGTTTATTTATTTGATTGTTTATTTCTTTGACTTAATTGTTTACTTGGTTATTTATTTGAACTAATTGTTTAGATTGTGTAATTAGTTGTTTTTTTTCATTAATTATTTATTTGCTAATTTGTGTAATTATTTAATTAAGTTGTCTATTTATTTTTTATTTTTATGTCTATGTGGCATTTTAATTAAATTGATTATAATTGATTGTGTATCTTTACAGTGTAGGGTTTTATATTTTGTGT